AAAACCCCGCAACTTCGCTGTGGATGGAAGTCTATTTTTAGAATTCCTGGTTTTCTCTTGGCGGCACCCATATACAGGTCTTCCGAAATTTTTTATGTCAATCGACGAATTTACCCGAATCTTACAAAATCTTATTTTTGATTTCCAGGGCAGTTTAGACCATTTTTTCTTAATACGATTTATTACAAAACCATTAAACTAATTTGTCTTCAGAAGGTGCGACTAATAAGTTTAATTGAACATGTAAATTTATAGAATGTGGTTTAAATAATAGTCTTAAAACCTGGATTTCACATAAATTTTACAAATCAAAACTATTTTTAACTTTCCGCTAGTAGAAAATGTTTTTATTTCATTCATTCCATGCACTTAGAAGATGTTTCACTGTTTCCAAGTTTTTATACTATCATCTAATTTTCGGAATGTATAGTATAAAATTTGATTCAATAATTTTTTATAATTTTTCTTGTTGTACGAACATTTAAGTTTTTAATAAACTTGAACGTATACACGTAAACCCATTAGCTCATGTTTCAAATTATATTTATTCCAAAGTTCAATATCTACTGTTACATTCAATATTTATGAATCCTTAATAAATACAGTAAATTTTATATATTTCATTTACTGTATATTCTTCATTTTAAACGAGTTATTATTGTTCTTTAAAAAAATTAGCAAAAATTAGAGTTCCAATCCATTAACCCGTTTATTCATATTTCCATATTCCGTTATCCAAGTATCCGATCTGAATTTATCCGGATATCCGTTTACTATTTATATCCGAATAATTTATTCAAATGTTTTGTTAGATCATCCGGATAATTCAGATATGGATAAACATTTATCCGGATTGTAACTCTAGAAAAATAATATATACTACACCATTTTGATGCTAGCAAGACCTCGAAATATTTTGTAACATTACTCAAAATTTGACCTTGTTCTCGATCTACGTCCATTCATTTCTAGTTGGTTATTTCAGAATCGCATTATTTTTCTTAATTCTGGCCAAATTTTAAAAACTATGCCAAAAATTCTACTTAAATTCACGAAAATTTTAGGGTATAAGCGGAAATGAAATTTCCGCTTATACGCATAGTGCCCAGGGCATAAAATAATTTCCTACATTGTCTACGTATGTCCCATCCCTAGGCATAGGCGGCTCAACTTATAATCAATTAATATTTTATTTTAACTAATAACTGTACTACGTCATCGTGCAAAACCAGGAACGGAATTTAATTAGATACTCAATATTTGCTTAAATGCAGAAAAAATAAATTTCTTTAAAAATTTAGATTGTATAAATATATACTTATTCATTTAACCACAAATCTTAAGTAATAATTTATTAACCATTTTGACTTGATATATTCTTTCAAAATTGTTCAAGTCTGCAGATTTTTGAATATACTGTCTTTCCGATTATAATAATTATTTTTCTTTAATAAATGTTACTGGAACTTGAAAGTGTTGCAATAGCAAAAGTATTTTTGCCGATGAATCTACATTTCATAAGGGTACAACATTATAATAGTATTGGTGTATCAAATCTCGATCTCAATTTGAAATTCAATTTATCAAGAATCAATTATTATTGCCCAATTAGATGACAAATGAGTTCAATAAAACACAATGAAAAACATATGTGAACCTTTTATTATCGTTACAGGCTCTACCTCCTATAACTAATATGCTATTTAAACTAATCGATTATAAATTCACTCTTAACGTATTGAAACTACTACGCCTATTATGTCTAATCATACGGTGACAGGTTGTCGAGGAGAGATCTATTTATTTTCAAAGAGAGTCGATTATGTAGTCATTTATGAAGTGATAAAAATGCTGCGAGGGTTAAACAAAGGAGTTCTTGCTCAAAACCCATCTTTCGAAGGTCCTTGTTTTATTACTAAATCCGAGGGGCCTAGTCACTGCTGCAATCGTGAAGCCTAACACCATCAAGAAAAGTCCTTACACCGCTATTTCGGCTACGGAGCTTAATATTACTTTATTACCATCTAACATATTAAACCAAGTACCGATCATTACCTTAACTAGATTATCATACGTATTCACAAACTTAGACACGATTAATTACGTACCAAATCCTGTGACGAAGATGCTACACAATGTAATATAACTCTGTTGGCAAATAGAACAATAGAATAAAAATTCTTTTTTGTCTTTATATAAACCAAATTTTTTTTATTAATAATTATAATTATTTATATATATTTCGTTAGAGCATTAGTAAAGTAATAAATTTAGAAAAATAAAAAAAAAAGTGAATAGAATTATATGGCAATAGAAAAGATGTAATAAAATGCCAACCCTGTTTTAAGATAAAAGCAAGATTTTGTGGAGCAATATCATTATACTGTTTGCAATATAACCATACACACCGTGATATTCACCACTCCGTTCCTAGTATCCATGATATTCACCACTCCGTTCCTAGTATCCATGATATTCATCACTCCGTTCCTGGTATCCATGATATTCATCACTCCGTTCCTGGTATATGTGATATTCATCACTCTGTTCCTGGTATCCGTGATGTTCATTACTCCATTCCTGGTAAGGTTACCTATACTTAGTGGTGCAAGCGTATTCAAACAATTACAACCTAGAATAATGTTATGCGTCATTCTTAAATTTGCGTTTGTTTGGTCTTAACGAAAAAATATAGCGTTTAATAAAACGATATCAATATCTGGATAATCTGAAATGCTAGTGGTCCAAGTTTATTTGCTGGATACTAACGATCGAGTGATCAATTTGCTTTTTTTGAGGAATTTATATGGCAATGATCTCCGATCCATTTTCCACAGGGCATGCCAACACGAATAACTTTTATGATTCACTCCTATTTGAATGTCGGATTGCATTAAAAAATTCGGGAATTTTAGGATATCTAAACACTTGTTATAATAATTTCAAACATTTGTATTCCGTTGATTATAAAAGCAAGCGCTTTAATTCAATTTTATCTTTATTGATTTAATACAATGTATATTATCAATACTAATTGTTTATTATACGTTTAATATTAAATATTTATTAAGAATTCCATTATGATCTACATGAAAAATTATTCGTCATTTTTCAATCGGTAAAAATTGAAAAATTACATGCATCAATTAATATTTGACGGAATTTAGAAAAGTAATACCCATTGTATTATTGTGACACACTTGATACAATACCGTTTGACGTATTATGCGTCGTATATCGCAATATGAATCGTATACGCCGTATATGTCATAATATACTACATTAAATTACGAGAATTAGAGATTGTTGTAATCTTAAAATTATTAACTTGGTTATTTACAACACAAAGGTTATCGAAAAAAGCGAAATCAAAGCTATAAATTAAAAAAAATCGTACCTTTATCCAGTGAATTTTTAAAAAAAATTAACGAGCATAAAAATTAAGTAAAATTAACGAACGAACAAAAAATTAAGTAAAAATTTCCGAAATTACTGAAAACGTTTGAAAAATCCTTAAATATTCAACCGCGACTATGGTTCGATTTACCAATATTTTAAACACCCTAACATTACATGTATATAGCTATTTTATAACATGAATAAATTTTTACAGAACACAATCTGGAAGAACAATGGATTTCATGGATCTATCAGGATGAAACAATCCCCAACTTCCTTCCACTGGACCAAGTAATGCAGCCTTCCAAGGAACATCAAAAGTTTCAAAATAGTAATATTTAATACCTTTTGAATTAGCTGAACAAACAAAAGTATCTAAAAATATTTGTAAATTTTGGACACTAGGAGCAGCAGAACCATGTATATCGCCGTCAGTCGGCCAACCAACTTCAGATATAAAAGAGTCTTTGCTAGCACTTTCAGCAAGTTTGACGACAGATTCATTATAGGTATTAAATGTCCATGATGCAGCATCGGTTATATTAACTCCATACCAATATGGATGAATATTAACCCACACTGCATCTACAGCATTTACAAAGGTCGTATTAAGCATAGTAACACTTGAAAGAGTTTCAGAAGTGAAAACAGGTATTGTTTTATTAAAGCCCATCGAATTTATCTTTGTTTTGACATCCGAGATACGACCAAATAAAGTTTGCAGAGGAATATCGTTACGAACGATAACTACCAAGATAAAAAAATAAGAGATAATATTTTAATAATTATTTAATTTAGACCTAATATAAAAATTTTTTTTAGTAGATATTGCATATAAAAAATTGAAAAGTACCTTCATTACCAACTGAAATACCATCAATTTTATCTACACCATATTTTCCGATGAAATTAAATAAAAGATCAAATTGTCTTTGATAAGTAGTATCATTATTATCAATCCAAATAGTGGGAACAAGAGTCATATTCAAATTTAATAAAAGGATTGCTTCCATAGTATAATCAGCGATATTACAATCCATTCCATAAACCCGTACTCTGTTAGTTAATTGAGAAATTATTTTCACATCTTCGATAAAATCACCCAAAGTGTTTACGCATAAAGGATAAATAGCATTTACAGGACCATAATCTATTCCATAAAATATTTTTTTATATGCAGCGTTTGGGATAATAGTCAAATTGACAGTTTTATTATCCCATGTGTAATATTGAGTATTATTACTGCTACTTTGTCTCTTTGAATAACTGTTTAAGAAATTGTCACGGTTTGAATAATTGTCACTATATGGAAGATTGTTACTGTTTGAATAATTGTCACTGTTTGGAAGACTGTCACTGATTGAAAGATTGTTACTGATTGAAAGATTGTCACTGATTGAAAGATTGTCACTTTTTGAAATATTGTTACTGTTTGAAAGATTGTTACTGTCTGAACAATTGTTACTGTTTGTTGTAAAATACACAAAGCATCCGATACTTGCAGCCAAAACAATGACGCATATCATACGATATTTATTTATTTTTATGTTTGGATCCCTCATTATAGATCAAATATATATCAAAGTTAGGTTAAAATGCAGAAATCAAATATGTTATTTTTCTGATTAAAATTTGTGAGATGGTCTTATATGTGTTGTAAGTGGGAATGGTGGGAATGGAATCATAATAGACTTCGGAATCTACTTAGATTTGAATGGAATAATTATACTAAAAATCCCAACCCTAACCTTAAAAATTCCAAATCAACCTAAATTCTGTTCCTACCTACGACAGATATAATAAAAAAAAATTCGTGTGCTAAATAGTTACTATTCAGCTGCCATTTAATAAGCATTTAACATACATTTCTAACAACAATCGACAAGTATTCGATATTGATTTTTTTTTGTTTTGACCAGTGTTGGCATGGTACTATCCAAATTCTTAATTAAAGTGTTCTTTATTATTTTTCCAACACTTTTCATCGATGATAATTTAGCAACCATCATAGTGATACATTGAATGATTTACTTATTATATATCATTTTCCGAAAATCATTTTTCTGAAAGGGGATTAGATCAGCCAGCATCATAGCAAACGTAAGCTAATTTTATTGGGATCATATTCTTAACGTTAATGACATTCAGGGGGTAAGCTATATAAAGATTTCAAAAAAGTTCGTTTTAACTTTTTTTCTCACCAAATAAATTAGCGATTAGCGGTTCTGATCAATTTACCGACAATCATTTCACCGAGCTTATTTAGCCGACATCACATAGGGTTAGGGTTAAGCATTTGATTAGTTGCAGGTATATATTTTTACTAAATTTCACCTG